CGCTGGGGGCCTCTGGGTTCTCGGCGATCTTTGCGCAGTCGGGACCGCCCCAGACGACGACCATGCGTGCCAAAACGCTGAAGGCCAACCGACTGGGCCCAATGTTCTCTGCCACGAGAGTCCGGCCGAGGGTGATGACAGAGTTGATGAGCGACTCGAAGAAACCCTGGTTGGCCTCACTGATGAAAACGGACTGGAGTTCGTTGTTCAGGATGACCAGCAGGAAGGACAGGTATTCCCTCCGCAACTCGCCAAGCTGGATCTCGTCGTCTGTACCGGTGACTGGTTCGGACAGGCCGGCAAAGATTCTCTGCAGCAAGGGAGTGAGAAGCATGTTCAAGACATTATAGATCTCCGTTTTGAAGCCAAAGACAATCTGGTCAAGGAGTCGTAGGAAAATAGCCATCTCGTCCTTGGAGGAGCTTTGGGACAGGAATCCCTCGATCCACTGAGGAAGCTGCGGCAGCACAGCGGATCCGAGGACGCCTAGCAACTTGGAGAAGGATGCTCGGCAAGCAGTGCGAATGTCGGTGGAGTTGTTCAACTCGCTGAGGGCAATCAAAATGGCCTCGGCAGCTCTCGAGAATTCATCAGACACAAGCTTGTCCGGGGGAGGTCGGTTCTGGACCGAGGTGCTGCCGGGCTGCCAGTCAGAGAATCCATGGGCGAGGCGACCAAGAGCCAGGATGATGTGATGTATTTGGAGAATGGCCTGGGCATCGTTTGCCTTTGCCTTTGGTAGATGGGATTCCATGTCACTGAACAAAGGATTCAACACAAGGCGGGCATAGTATGCCTGTTTGTCTGCAGGTGTGCTTCCAGTCGACGCAATGCAACCAATGGCCTCAAACAAGTAAAGCTGGCTTGTGAACAGGGCGTCTGCAGAGTGATCAGACTCATCTGACGACATGTCATCGTCTCCGTTACTCTCTGAGACCTCGGCCTTGATCGGCAGAAGGTCACTGATGGACTGAATAACAGTTTCTGCCACATTGCCGACCTGGGCTCTGAGAAATTTGACAAATCTCTGGAAGAGATACCAGGATCGTGTCTTAATGCGCACGTGGTCGTGGTGAACCAGTCGTACAAAGTTCTCCAAGACCTGGGGGATGTATTCTTGGCGAGCATCAAATACTTGCCAGTACCGGACACAGATCTCCATGTACTGGAGCAGAATCGCGGGGTGGGGGAAGTTAGCAATTCCTATAAAACAGTCAGGGGCTTGGCTCGAGTCAATGTCAAGGGAAGTCACCTACCGGACTCAACCATCTTGGTCACCATGATGGTCAGTCGTTCTGTTGCTGTGCTTGAGGGCTGGCTCTTGGTGCCCAGCCCTTGGTTAGGTAGCGCGAGTTCGCCAAACAGATACATCTCGTGGAGCGCAAGATCCAGATCTCTCCAGTCCATCTGAGACCCTTGCTGGTCAAGCGTTGTGAAGGTCTGGGAAACGAGGTTGCTGAGAACATCGATATAAAGCTCTTGGTCTACAGCAGCAACGGTCTTTTGGAGAACCTGCAGCCGCTTCCGCAGCTCCTGGAACTCGGCCTCATCCGTTTGCTCGTCTTCGTCACCCCAGTTAGAGGTCTCGTCGTAGCGCATCTTCATAATGATGGCGTTAAGAATAGGAGGAAGCATCTCCTTGTAAGAAGCAGGCAAGTTGGCGCCGACCTTTCGCAGGAGGGTAAGGAGGTCGGTCAAGGAGGGGATGACTGTCGAGCACACCTCGTCGTACTCGTCAGAGAAGAATCGGAGAAGGAAGGGTAGGAAATCGTGAAGATGTTGCTCGGACTTGGCTCTGGTGTCTTCGCTGGCCTGGCCGTCCTCGAGAGCGCGTACAATATCAGCCATGACGGTGTTGACGAGCTTAGCGACAGCCTCGGCAAGATCGGTATCGTACTGAGGTGTAGACTTGAGCTCGCTCAGAGGGGCGCTGGCGATGAGCTGGGCCACGATATCGCGCAGGTTGAGGAACGAAATCAGTTCCATCTTCTCGGGGCCCCTCATCTTCTTGCCCACGATCTCGGTGAGAGTGTCAATGGCGGCGTCCCGAACCTTGTCCTCGCTGCCAGACCGATTTGTCCGTCCAACAACAGGAAGCAATAGGTTGAGCATTTCCTGGTTTACGATCAAGGAAATGTCCATCCAGCTAATCCACTTGCCAATAACCTTGAGAATCATCTCAACAATGACATCGCTCTGGCCCGAATACTGCGCCAGCAAGTCCTTCCATGACTGAGCAATCTTCTGGACATCACGCTCTCGCAGCTGATCCTTCAGGTCGGTGTTGCGCTTCGCGTCGTTGCTGTTGCGCGTCAACAGCATGTCGGCAATCTCGTCGTGGACAGAGCCAATGATTCGTAAGTAGAGAACAACACCGGCCGTGTTGTTGGGGCTGCTGGCAATAGCCAGGAAGTCGTCGATGAAGGACTCCCAACCATCGTTGTAGAGGAAGACGAAGAGGTAGGTAAGGGTCTGCGAGAGCTTGTTCTGCAGGTGGGAGGGGTCGACCTGGTCTTGCAGGTTCTGGCCGTAGATATTGCGGACGTATTCGAGGAGGTTGTCCTTTAGCCACGAAAGGCTGTTGCGGTCGAGGCCTTGTGTGTAAATCGCATAATTAACCACTTCCAAGCAGAAGAGGCGGACGACTTCGGAAGGGCGCTGTGATCTAGTGAAGAGGGTGGTGCAGACCTGCCAGCCTTGGGGGTCGGCTCGCAGCTGGTTCAGGTAGTCGAAGGCTTGTTGCTTGAGGTTTTGATCGCTACCGACGTTGAACGCGGCCTCGACGGCGTTCTCAATCTGTGCGACGAGTGGGGTCAGCTCTGGTCCATGTGCGGCGAGGCCCATTCTCCTCTATGGCATGCCATCGTGAGAGTCCCCATTCCCATGGGCAGGCTTGGGTCACCGGAGTGAAGGCCGGCGGCGGCGGTCAGACCATGGAGGCAGCGGGCGTTGGTGGGAGGAGGGGTGATGATGGAGGTCGGAATGGCGGGGCACAAGGCCAACGATTTTGAGGCAGCCCAAGCCCAACCAGAAAGCCGCAAGGTAAATCGCAAAAGGAGGCGCTGCAAACGTACCTGAGCGTCCATGTTCAGGACGGTGTTTGCCCCCCGAAAGAGGTAGTGGGTTGTAGAAAAGGTGATCAAGAGAAGATTTAATGTGAGAAACCGTAGACGAAGACTAGTTTATTTTTTTTTTGTTGTCGGTATCGAAATGCTGCTATAATCCTGGCAGCCCTCCAAGCTGTGCATTCAGCATTCTTGCTTGGGGTAAAAGCGGCGACGTGGAAGCTACCGAGAACTCATGGCCCGGTTCGGATCGACAGATGATAAGTAATTCGGGTATCCGTAGAACGTAAGGTGAGGTAAGGCAAGGTAGGCAGACCGAATGAGGCAGCGGATGTCGGGTTGATTGGGAGATTGTACACACACGCGAGGAGTACTTTGGTCGGAGACGAGGGGTTGGTGGATGGTTATGCCGAGGTGAAGTTGAGATGCAAACTCAGGCGAGTTGAAGTATGCAAGTGCTCGAAGCGATCGTCGGTCGGCCTCTATTATTTGCAAAAGCGGTCGATGAGGGGGAGCAAGTCTGAGAGCGAAATGAGCGGGAGAGGGAAAGAGACAAGGTGGTGCAAGGCTGAGGGGCTATCACAGCACCGCAAGACAGAAAGACTCGGCGGTGGCAGGTGGTGTCTGTCGGTGTCGGTGGGCTTTTTTTTTTTTTTTTTTTTCCCCTTCCTCCTTCCCGGTCACTGTTATTTTTACTAGGTAGGACCCTCTCGGTCAGTTTCCTCTAATCGCATGGAACCCCCAAGGCCCAAAAGTCGGTCGCTGATGTGTGCAGTGTTCACTCCTCAGTGAGTCTCGTGCACGCACACAACAAGTGGGGTCAACTCTTGGTCTGTGGGCATCTGGACAGCTGGACAGCGAACAATCTTAAACACCTCAGTCTGATTGATGCCTGTCGGCTGCACTGGATTCGACTAAAGGTGAGAAGCTAATTTCAATGAGGGGCCAAGGAAGCACAATAAATCCCACTGGACACTCCCTGTATATTGCCTGCAAGGTAGCGCCACGCTTCTTTATGGCACGTCTTTCCGCTGGCAGTCCGCCGAGGGCGGGGTTCCTGGCTTGCTGTCACTCTCCTCTTGAATCCAGCTCGGCCAAGAAGGTAATACGACAATACCTGTAATACACCACTTGTATCCGAAATGTAGTAACCCGGCAAATTATCGGCCAAGTCTATAGTTGATCCGGACAGAAACACTGCTGTTTGTGATACCTTCCAGGTTACGCCTCGGGCACTTATTAGTTAGCCTGTTCGGTAATATCGTAGAAAGATCCAGAAGCCAAACATCCCACTACAATATCCGCACCCGCAACTATTCTCCCACTGCCCCTCACCTCACCCCTCATTTTGATCATTTTGACAGTGTGCGCTCCCCCAGCCTGGGTGATCCAGGTCAGCCCTATTACAATCTACGCTAACAATCCAATGCGGTTCTCGTTCCGCCTCGACCTCAAGATTTCCCCTAAGACAGGTCTCGGTTGCCTTGGAAACATGCCTGTGTCCCCGGGTATTTGAGCACCAAAGTCCTGTGCTGGCGTTATGAGCCTAGGTATAGCCAATGTCAACATCGTTCAACTCTGTAGGTCTGTAATCTCGAGGGTCTGGCGCAATGGATAAAAAGGCCCACAAATTGACATAGAGGACCCTGATGCAGTTGCTCTTTGATATCGGATGAAACTGTTCTGTTGGCCTTCTAGAAGGCCCATGACATGTACAAGAGACGGTCCTACACGCTCGTCCAGTAGGAAAAAAAAAGTGATAACCAAACGCCCATAACAAATTTTGAGACGGATAGAGACACGGCACTGTTATTACGCCCATCCAGAGTGCCATATCTGGACAAAGTCGTTCCCCCCGTAGAGGCGAGGACGAGATGGTGTTTACAAATGGGGAGAAAGCAACGAAGATCGAGGCTCTCGCAAGCAACCGAAACCTTAGCAAACCCGGACACCGCAAACCTCGACACCTTTGCCCTCAATGTAGGGCCTTCGGTCATAGTACTTGCTCATGAGTTCCTTGACAAACTCGGCATCGTGCGCGTTCCACACGTCGAGTCCCATACTCTCGAGCGTATCGCTGCCAACTCGTACCGAGCTTCGATCCGACTCGCTGTTGGTCCTCAGAGGAACATCATCGGCATCGTCCTCGTCGTCCTCGTCTTCATAGCGATCGTCCGAACTCTCCACCACATCAGCCATGACCGTCAGCATTTGTGCTGTCAAACGGTGAAAGTACGCAATCACGGCGAGCTCCGTCGTTGCTTCATCGGTCTCAGATCCAGCGGCCGGCCGGGAGACAATGGATCCAGTCGAGTCAGCCATGCCACCGGATGCCGATGACCGGGGTCTCGCATTGGGTTTTGACATGCTCGGAGTGTGGGGCGTCAGACCCAGGTCCGCCAGCAGCGCTGCATCGTGGGCCGCCTCCTCTTGTTCCTCACTCCGTGCTTGTTCACCGGCGCTCGCCCACCACATAAACCCACTATACGCCAAGGCTGTCCAACTTGATGGCTCGATAATTTTGTCCAGAGCCTCGTCGCCTTCGACACTCGAAGCCGGGAAGGCGCCAGTAGTCAGCTTAAAACTCGTTGAGGTCTCCGAACGTGGACTTTCAGCCGTCATCGGCTTCGGTGTCGTTGGTGACAACCTAGCCAAGCCGGCCTTCAGGGCACGGAACCGCCTCAGATCGCGCTGTGTTGCCTTGACAGGCGTACCGCGGGGACATTCCACAGTTGGCCAGGCCTTTTCCTTGGCGTTGGGAGCATACGGTGGCGGCATGGTGATGAGCATGTCCCACAGAGTATCCTTCATGGCCAGGATACTGTCAGTCGTGCAAGCAACCCAACCAGAGCCAGCCTCGTCAGCCAGGTCATCATTGCTGTCGACTTTTCGGCGCTTTGAAGCCTCAAAGTCTTCCATCAAAAAGGGGATATCGTGGACTCCAATTGTGAAGAGCGGCCTCAGACGTTGAGAGGACGATGTCGGAGCCAATAAATCGGCCACTGTCTGGGGAATATTTGAAAGAACAGAAATATTGTACACTTGATCGGATGTCAGTGGAGAAACTGCGAGACAGATTCCCGGTCAACATACCAAAGTTGCAAATCTCTCGTACCGGCGCATGGCACGATATTAATATGCGCCTCCTCAGCAGAGCTGCCCTGTGAATAGGGAATATGAGTGGCCCGAATGTGTCCAGCAACGTCGTCAGGCTCCATGCTGGGTGGTATGGTGAAAGTCGATGCCCGGTTGGCAGCAGGGAGGCTCCATCTGATGCAGAGCGATTGCGGTTATGGTTCGACTTTTTCGGTTGTGCGGCTTGAGAGCTGAAACTGATAGAAGGAGACTCCATCGGTGGTCGTTCTTGTTCGGCCCCTTCTTTGGCTTTGTTGTTCTCCCAATAGTCATCAAGAAGACTAGTATTTTTGCGATCTTGGGACAATTTTCTAACACATGGTCAGCAATAATATTCCTGTCCTGCTCCGACAAATGTCCACTTACGACGCGATGTCCTTTAATCCTTCCGCATGCCTCCAGGCGCGACCCAGGCGGCCGTAACTGAGGGGCACCAAGACGCCGACAGCAATCATGCGCGCATGTCGCGCCTCCTCCTCGTCACATGGAGTGTTGATGAAAGCGCTGAGACCCGCATGCTCTCCCTCGTGCACGAAGTATATCAAGTCATCGGGGACAGTGTGCAGACCGGATGGCAAGCTCTTATACTCGACGAGGCCCTCGAGTTCGATTCCAGGAGCGGATTGTTTCCAAACAATGGTATAGCCAGCTTTGACATCAAAGTCGATGAGAAAGAGGGCGGATATGGGAGGGAGCTCGGGTTGCGCATTGCCCGCCGGCAAGCGAACTGAGAGGGGGGGTGGTTCTCGGCGAGAGGGCATGTTCGGAATAGCAGCAGGCTCAAGGCCACTCTATGGCAGCAAGTAGATGCGCCAGTGACCGAGGCGCTGGTCGTTTCGGCACTGGCGGGTAGGTTTGTCGTATATGGTATCTCGACGGGCGACAGGCGACAGGCGGCAATATCGAAGATGGCTCCGCGGTTACGTGGGATATGCTCGACGAATGTCGTGCGATCAAGGTTGCGAACTCCTCGCCGTCGGGCAACAGGTACCGACGCGGAGCTCAGACAGACCCCAGGCGGACGTACCGGGTAAGGATGTTAGTCAGCTAGGTATTTCGATCATGATCGGTTATCGATAAGAACCCCTGCCATTTTGATATGCACGGGTACCCTGGTCGAGCAGCTCGGACCAACGTCCACTTTGGCCATGTCGAAGAGTACCTTAGGTAATCCATGAAGGGCAGTTTGGTATCAAGAGTCTACAATGTCTAAGGTACCTTAAGGTGATGTTCAAGTATCTATTTTGAACATAAATGTCAAGTGCAGAAAAGTCCAGGGAAAGGCTGACATCTGCGAGAGACACTTGAAACTTTCCGAATCAACCAAGCCTCGACGTAAGGCAGGTACGGAGTAAATCCAGTAAATGGAGGGGCACCGAGACAGAAGCAGTGGGTTGAATCTGAATCTAAATCTGAATCGCTGGGGAAGAGCGCTGGTCCTGACTCTGACCACATGCTTTTTTGTATAGCGCAAAGTGACCGCATTGAAGGAGGACGAGGAGGAGGGGAACATTCTCTGCCCCACCTCCACATGCCTTTTGGACGTCAGGGAGACAATCAACAGATGTACATGGAAGTTTGGACATGTTTAGGCAGCCTACCTTACCTTACCTTGAGGTAGATGCCTCCCGTCTACACTTTACACGTGCCAGGCGTGCCAGTCACCACTCCGTCTGAACTTGCCTTGTTCCCCAACCCCTTTTAACCGCCGGTTCAGATTCAAGCGGCCGCCTTACTCAAGCTAAGACATTCCAGGTACTAGCGGTGGTACAGACTACATAGTACATACGGATAGTTAGTAAGGTATTCATCTCAAAATCTCATGTCTGTCTCTACCCGGCCCCCCCTCCCCTTCCCTCGTCAGGTGTCCCGCTGGTCCGCCGTCTGCCCTTCCCAATCAGCGCATGGTGGACGTTGGACGGAACAATGACATGTGCTAGTGGCCTACCGACAGGAGATCAAGGACAATCAGGTCTAGCGCCCATAACGGCCTGGTCCTGGGCATGTCCCATCCCCAACTGCCTACAAGCCTAGCCATGATTACCTTGAGGTTGACGGTGGCTTGAATGGAAGACCACAGATTACCTATGCCTCTTAAAAGTCTTCACCTCATGGCAAAGCAAGGGACCGATTTATAGTTTAGGTGCTATATTACAAGGGCATGATTTCGGCGATTTGGACTTATCCACCTCAGCTATCGCCGGCTTTCCGAATCCCAAGTTTCCCAACGACTTGAGCCTCTGGAAGCCAAAATGACATCCCACCAAAAAAAATATTTGTCTGGGACACGAGCCGACAGGGAACCCCACACCTTTCCTTGTAGAGTATTTTGTGGGAGTAAGCCATGCTGATGACCCCAGTCGCGACCCATGACCACAGTCACCACACACTTCGGTTGATTAACGGTTGACCAGGGCCCTTTCCTCTCAGTCTCGGCCTCTCTTCTTGTCTCTCCCCCCGCCAATCCAAAGAGCTTGAAGTGCGGTGTGCAGCACCATCCAATGCCACCAATATCCGTACTGTACAATTTACCGATCCGTCCTTGCCTGTGCCATACGGAGACCTTCCAGTGTTGCCAGTACTTTGTACTCTAACTCCGTACCCATCCCGCCACTTGGCGCTTCCCGTTTCCACTTCTTGCAGTTCTGTGACTTGTCGCATGCTGACTCTTGACTTGACTTTGGTTCCTCTTGCTGGTCCGCGCCCACCAATTCCGATTTCCCTTACATCGTCATTGCGAGTCGAGTCTCCTTCTCGTTCAACTTCCTCCCCTCCAACCTTCTCTGAGACACACATCCATACGGACACCTGGTGCTCCTATCCTCCCCCCCTGGAACATGTGTCTTCGGAAGCTGTAGCCTTGCCATCTCTTTTCTTACCTCCCCATTTCTCCTCCAAGCATCAGTACTGCCGCCTGTCATCGTTCCCCGGAGACAGAAACATCCCATCGCTTTGCCGCGCCCTTGCGACGATCCTCCGTTCCACGGCCTCAACCCCGCCTCCAAAAAGCTCCCTCCTCAACACATCCCGCCCTTCCGAGGCGCGCCCCAAAGAAGCTTAACGCACGCCCAGTCCGATTTTCTCAATCTCTTGCAAGCTTCCGCGCGCCTGTCTCCTTCTTACGCCCGTCTGCCGCCGTCCCTAATCAGCCACGCGCACCCACCACCGCCAGCAGCCATGTCGGCTTTCCTGGGCTACATATACTCCTTCTTCAAGGGTTATGCCGCCCTCGTCGTCGCCCTCTACATGCTGTCCTACGTCGTCCCCAAGGCCGCCTTTGGCGCTCGTGTCCTCGCCTCCTACATCTCGCTTGCCGTAGCGGCCGGCTGGGGTGTCTTTGCCTCCATCTTCCTGAAGCTCATCGGCGAGCAGGGCATTGCGCAATGGATGACCGGCCGGTTTTTGTACTACATCATGGCAGTCACCACGGGCGTCACCTTTGAGGTCATCGATCCCAACCACATTCTCGACAATACCCGCCCGGCTGTCTTTGTCGGCAACCACCAGACCGAACTCGACGTCTTGATGCTGGGTACCATGTTCCCCAAGTACTGCAGCGTCACTGCAAAGGCCTCGCTCAAGAAGACGCCCATTCTCGGCTGGTTCATGACCCTGAGCGGCTCCATCTTCATTGACCGCAAGAATACAAAGGATGCCAAAGATGCAATGGCCGGCGCTGCTGAGCAGATTCGCAAGAGGAATCAGAGCGTTTACATGTTCCCTGAGGGTACCCGTAGCTACGCCAAAGACCCTGTATTGCTACCCTTCAAGAAGGGCGCCTTCCACCTGGCTGTTCAGGCCGGTGTACCCATTGTACCCTGCGTTGTCGCCAACTACAGCCACGTCCTCTACCTCAAGGGCCTCATCTTCAACTCTGGAAAGATCCCCGTCAAGGGTAAGTGCTCGAGCTGTCCATGTGTCCCTCCCCAAGTGCCAAATACATGCTAACGTCAAGTCGCGCAGTCTTGGACCCCATCCCCACTACTGGCCTGACCGCTGCCGACGTCGACGAGCTCACCCGCAAGACCCGAGACCTGATGTTAGAGGAGCTCGTCAGCCTGACCGAAAAGGCCCAGGGCAGGCCCATGAAGGTCGCCCACGATGTCCCTTCCGCGAAGACGACCGGAACCGACGCCACAGATACCATCTCGGCTCTGTAAACGCCCGAGGCTTTGAGTGGGTTAAGAGCCTCGGTTCCAAAAGACACAATGTTGGAACCCTTGCCAGATCGAGGGCGGGCATCTCCAAATTAAACGCATACAGCTCGTACAAAGACAAGACGGGTCAGATGGCAACATCTCCATCACAAGAGGCTTCCAAACAGCCAAGTTCACATGGGCACGGGTAGAGCAGTTAGATTCAGGTGGGTGGGGGAAGCACGTCTTGATACCCCATAGACTGAAAGTACTTGCATTTCTCTCCTTGCCCGATTGGCCTTTTCACCAGGCCACACGGGTGTTCGGGAATCTAGACGTTCGGCATGACATGTAGATGAGATACGGCGTGCAGGCAGTATCTTGTTCAGAAATGATATTTAACGTTCACACTTACAGTACATGGGAGGGCCGACATGAAGGGTTCAAGTCCGCATGGCCATCCCCCTCCTTGAAGTGACAGTAGAGCTACGAAGACGGTCCAAGTTCCATATTCAGCCAACCCAATAAAAGTGTAGGTAAGGAAGATGTCTGGTAATGTCGACAATGTCGGAAGCTAGGCATCCATCGATGACAAAGCCTTTGCCCCCGGCAATCCTCCACCTTATTCATAAATCAGCATCCTATCTCTATCTCCCGTGTCATCTTGGAAGCATCTCTTTAAGAAGGAAAAGAAAAAAAAGGAAAAAAAAAAAGGAAAGGATGTAATTTCCTTCATAATCAGGATTTACCATAAACGCCCAAGCTATGCTACACTTTCTAACACTCTTCCCCCCTCCCCCGAGGTCTTTTGATAGGGAAGAGCCTCTCTTTTAGACTAATATGTAAACACCACCATATTCTCACACCGGCCGTCCGTGACTTCCTCTCTCTATTCAATGAGGTTCCAGTCTCATCAAGGAAACCTAACCCCTTAATTCATCTTTCCCTCCCCCCTATACTCCTCAACCTCGCCCTCCTCATCCTCATCTTCATACTCCTCCCCCTCTTCATCCTCATACTCCTCTTCGTATTCCTCCTCATCAATAACAGCCTGCTCATTATCCTCCTCGTTCTCCAACAACGTCTCCCCCTCGGCGTCCGTAGTCTCATCCTCGAGGTCCGTGTTCCCCGAAATAAGCAGACTCCGTAAATCATCCTCGCTGAGAATGGTCTCGATGCTGCCCCTCCGGATCCAAGGCCTCGTCTCCCTACGCCCCTGCTCAATCAACCTCTCAATCTTGAGCCGGTTGCCCACAAATTTCAGAATGGGGTACCCCCGTTGCTGGCCCTCGTGAATCATGCGCGCCAACCGCGGCGGGTCCGGGTCCGAGAGGATATGCACAAAGTCCGAAGGCACCGTCTTGGGCCACACGGTGATTGTGCCGCTGAACGTCTGCAGGAAAAGCTGCGACCAGTCCTGACCCAGAGGCCGGGGAAGGAGCTCGGCGTGGCGGATGAATTTGAGCCACTTGGTCATGTCCAGCTTGAGGTAGTGCTCCACGGCCGACATGACGTACCCGCCGCGCCAGCCTTTGCCCTTGCGATGCGTGACCGGGTGCCCGACGGAGCCGCGCGATGAGAAGAAGAAGAGGTTGATGTGCGGGTTGACCTGGCTGACAATGGTGAAATTCACGTTAAAGTGCAAGTTGAGGGCTTTAATGGGGATATCGGTCCGCAGACTGCCATCCTTCCACTTGTGCCCAAACGAATAGGGCACCAGCGTCCCGTCGCGCTGCTTCATCATCAGCACTACGGGGTTGAGGATCCCCGGCACGGCGGCGGACGCCAGCACGGCGGACCAGATGACGCAGTCCGGGCTGGTGAGGTAGTTGCAGAGGATGGTGGGCGAGTGCGGGTCGGCGGGCACGCACGAGACGTTGAGGATGCGGCCGGTGCGCTCGTACGCCTCCCGGAAGGTCATGGACCCCCTCGTCCACCAGCTGCACTGTTTCGCCCAGTCGACCGAGTCGAAGCGGGCGCCCGTCCTCCACCACCGCGGGATCCACGTCCAGAACGTCTCGCGGCACGCCGTGATGCGGTGCGCGAGCGCCGGCACGAGGAGCTGCCTCAGCTCGTCGTCCGTCCGGGTGGCCACGAGGGCCGCGACCAGGGCGCCGCCGCTGGTGCCGGTGATGACGTCTGGGAGCAGGTCCGCCTCGAGGAGGGCCTTGATGACGCCAAAGTGGTAGTAGGCAAAGGACGCGCCGCCCGAGAGGCAGAGGGCCGTCCGTCCGTAGTTTGCGTGCATGCCCTTGAAGATGGAACGCTTCTCCTCCATGGACAGTTGCTTCGTGCTCAGGATGAATTTGATGCTCCTCTCGACTGGACGCAGTCAGTCAGTCAATCCACTAGCACCTTCAAGACACCATTAGCATATACATACCTTCGTCGATAAAGTTCTGCACCAGGTTCTTGGTGCCATAGTACGTTTGGCTGTACAACCTGGGATTCTCAACGCCCACAAAGTTACTCTTCACACACGCCGAAAGCAGCGCATGAAGCTCCTCGACAGCAGGCTTCCCCGACGCCGCCTTGGAGTCCGCCTGCTGCGCTCCCTCATCATCCGTCTCTCCATTCTCCGCCGCCTCGGCCTTCTGCCTACACTTGCGCATCTGGTCCCACACCCTCTTAACCGTCTTGGAGTCGTAGTAGGCGAAATCGTTCTCCTCCTTCCACCGCTGCCGGTCGAGGTAGCTGTCGAGCTCCTTGGCCGCGACAACCCAGTCGCGGTAGTTGTTCGTCCGGCGCATGCTCCGCCGCAGCCTCTCCCGCGTGCCGCGCCAGGTGACAAAGTGCTCGTATACCCAGATGTACAGCCGCGTGTACAGGTACGTGAGCGCGAGACCCGCGAGCCAGGCGCCGACAAAGAAGAGCATCGGCCACTTGAGGAGCGCGTAAAAGATGCCCTCCCGCGTCTCGTCTTTTGTCCTGGTGCCTAGGAGCGCCTCCGCGGCCCCCTTGGCCCGGTTTCTCCTCCGACGAGACCCCCTCTTTGATATCTTTTGGTTGACGGGCGCCCAGTCGTTTTGCGCCGTGATGAACATGTTGGACTGCGTCGCCGAGCCGTTGTTGTAACCGCCGCCGCTGCCGCCATTGGTATAGGTGTGGTTCAGCATCCCCGGACCCGGGGCCGTGACGTCGCCCGCAGCAGCAGCCGCCGCCGCGGCGACGGCCGACGGATCCTCCCTGTCATCTTCGTACACAGACCCTCGCTTCGTCACGTCGAGCGAGCTTTGACTCCTGAGGCCGGGAGATCGGAGAGACGTGGTTTCGTCGGGTGACTGCAAGGGATCGGGGGCCTGGAGGGCCTGTATGAAGGCGGCGAGGTCGGCGTCGCTGAGGAATTTGGTGTCGAACTCGGGGAGGCCGTCGGTGCTGAAGTTCTCGGGCGGGAAGCCGTAAATGTCTGTGTTGCTGCCGCTGCTGCTGCTGCTGCCGCCGCCGCTCGGCGAGGAGCCAAACGAAACTCTGGGTTGGTGGTGCTCAGCCATGTCTGCGGGCTGCGTCGTCTGACGGGTCTAGGCGCATGATATGGCGGCACACCAGGGTAGGGAGGAGTGGTTGCGAGGCAGTCGAGTGTGAAGCTACTCAGGGAAAAGATGCGTGGGAGACACGACGCTGAATGCTAAGGAGCCTAGAGGAAGGGATGAATTTGGTCTCCGAAATGAAGAGGAAGCTCCAGTGGCGGCAGGTGTGTAAGGCAAGGTACCTCAAGGTTCTATGCGAATGCGGCGTAGTAGGTGTAACGTGCGTGGTTGCGTGAATAGTTGCGTGAAAATGTAAGCGTCGGATAGAACATCTAGTGGCTAGAGTAATCTGCAGATGGACGGGTGATTTCGGTGCATTTGTTGGGGAGGGAATTAGAGATGCCTCGGGGTGGTGGTGGTCTGTCACTCTCGGCCGGGGGAGACTACCACTTTCTGGCACCCAGTCTCAGGTTCCTTTCGAGATGCGCAGACCTCCCTAGGGAATGCGCGCCCGTGATGCCACGGGTCGGATGACGTCGGCAGTAAGCTCGAATTGGATTTCGTTGGGACCTCCGGGCGCCTTGGGGCGAGGGACACCCTTAGGGAGCACTCGCCTGTTGGCCGCCCACTGATACCAACCCACGCCGGCTAATGAACCGTGAGGTGGGCAGGGGGGGCAACAACTTCCACTCCCTCAGTCCCCCCACTCCCGGTCACTTTTCTTCACTTTCTTCAGTGGACGCTGTACCTGAAATAAGGCTCCTCTAGCGGGATGCAGTGCGAACAAGGCCACCTACCTTAGTTCCCACCACCACCTGTTCGACTAACACCAACATCTCGTCGTCTGTTTCCTAATATCATAACCATAATATACATGTAAATCACCAGCTCCGACTTATTATTTAAAGACCTAAGTCATAAACCACTCGATACGTTGAAACAAAATCCCACAAGGCCGCCCGTCTCTCCGGAACCCCCCCCTTGGAAGGAATGTCACCTCACATCACCGGTGGCCCCTCGACCAGAATGCCATTCCTACCTAAGGTATCTACGCCTGTATGGCTGGCAAGGCTGAGCTGGAAAGTTCCAGTGGCTTTTCATAAAAAGTATCTGACATAATATGACATGTGGTGACTTACCTAATATACCTTGCACCAAACTCCAAAAGAGACGGTACTGAATCATCGAGACGTCAGCGTGATACCTACTGATAGATAGAGAGACCAGAAATCTTTGAAACGCACAGCCGGGCCAGTTGCTGATATCTGGGAAACCACTCATGCCACCGTTGCTTGTGAAAATGCGAAAGAGCATTGCCACAATTCCCTTCTTCGCCGGCCTGACTGACGTAAGATATCATCACTTATCCCGCCGTTTCCCGCCGCCCATGGTGTAAACCTTCACGACGTGGACACGGTGGCCTCGGTCACTGTCACCACATCATCACTTCACACAGCGTACTAGGAAAGAAATACTTCTTACAATGCTCGGCGCATTCATTGATACCCCTTGCAGTGTCATACTCTACACGCTCCAATCACCTTAATGTCAATGTTGTTGATGCAACAGTAAACTACGCAGAGCAGGCTAACAGTTTGAAAGACGCAAAATAAACCAGATTTCGAATCCCTGAGCCCCAATGAAGAATTCTAGCCTAACAAGCGTACAAAACTGCCTCGTCTCTGGCCTTAAGCTGGATGCCCCGACCAACAGGTACTGACCGAACGAGCAGAGCCATCTGGACCGCCAGACCGAGGACTTTTCCCCTCCTCCGTATGTGGACCGATGCAGACATGCCCAATAGCAGCAGTGTCAGCCCGTTACGCAGCTCTTTCTAAACCGTTGTTCCCCCCAAGGATATCAGGTTTCGCAAACGCCAAAAGGGGGGAGCCCTTATTCTGTTGAACCCGCCCCTCGAAGCACTTGACCGGAGCTTTCGTAGACGTGGCACCCATGATTTCGTTCCCGCGTAGACGTTCCCTATTGCCATTCTTGCCAGATCGTCCATGTACTTACTCCATTTCCGCCGTAGACACCTCCCGCAAGCTCCTTCCAGAGCTGTCGGTCCGTGTTTAGACGTACTGCGAGAGCCACCGGATACCGTCGCCGTACCCTGTTTCTTCACGTTAGCCAAAATGTTCCTGTTCTGCACCCTTGTCTGCCATGTTCCCGGGGAGAAAGTAAAAAACGCACCTTGTCTGAGGACAACGGAGCACATGAAGACCTCGATGGGTCGGATTCCCTCCAAAGGCACCTTGCCCTTGCCGGTGGTCTGGTACATGCCGAGCTGGTGACGGAGCTCCTCCTCCGAGATGGCGTCGGGATGGTCAATCTTGTTGCCGAGGATGACAAAGGGCACCTTGGCCAGCTCCTCCATGGACAAAAGGGCGTCGAGCTCGGCCTTGGCCTCGGGGAACCGCTCGTGGTCCTTGGCGTCGACGAGGAAGACGATGCCGTTGACTTCGGGGAAGTAGTCCTTCCACAGGCGGCGGGCCTGCTGGTGACCGCCGAGATCGAAGGTGGTGAAGCGCACGTTGCCGATGGCGAGCTCCTCGGAAGCTGGAGGGGGAAGGCGAGGCGGGTTAGCTTTCTGGACACGTGCGCAGACCAGAGCAGAGCCCCATTGTCAATGGGCTCTTTTGCCGCGGAAGGAATATACTCACTGGGGTGAAGAGTAGGCTGGAGGATAGCGACACGGTCGTTCTGATCATCTTGTTAGTAGTGGTCTATGCTATCCATATCGTTGCCGAAGAGTATCCCGTATCGGCGCATCCGACCTCTAGTAGGCTCGTGGTATCTATTGATATGGGAAAGCTGGCGGGTATCGGGGCGGATCGTACCTTCAGCATGTGCAGCAGGGTGGTCTTTCCGGCATTGTCGAGGCCGAGGAAAAGAAGCTTGGCATGCTTGTTGAGCAAGCCGAGGCTTGAGAGGACGTCGTAGACTATAGAAGAGAGCGAATACCAGTCAGTCCGTCATGGTCCAACCAGGGATGGATGATGGGCCACACAAGCTACGGCGAAGGCGGCGCGCAGAAGACCAACTCAGGTGGTGGAGGGGTATCAAGCAGAGGCAGGAGATAAGGGAAAAGGCATGATACATACACCAGTTAATAATCCACATCTTGACGACGAAGGAGCGAGATTATTGTCTGTATTGTGAGGGTGGTTCGTGGATGACGGTGGAGTCGATAGGTTGAGGTCGAGGAGGTTTCGATGTTCGGGCTTTTGCTCCCAGGAGACAAGGCGGCGGGCGTGTACGAATGGCGAGGTAGGTACCAAGGTCTGGACTGGACGGGACGGGACTGGCTGAGCTGGGGGCCACCTTACGCAGTAGGCTTGGTGGGCTACCAGGAGAGGTGGGAGCTGGGTCGGGGAGACAGCAAGACAGTAAGACAGCAAGACAGCAGGTGAGTGAGTGAGGTGGTGCGTGCTGGCTGTGCTGGCTGGCGCATTTACTGTTGCGAATTGCAGTGTGTTGAGGTGGGCATGCCTTAAATCTCGGGCTGCCACGTATCGGAGGTGCTCCACAGCCGCACCGAGTGCTGTCAACTGAGGTGCAGTCTGGGAACTAGGAACCTGCAAAGAACAACGGAAGACGCAAAATGCACAAAAAGTCTGGGAGTGCGTCAGGGCGAAACAAAACTCTTTGCCATCTCCTTTAGGAAGGCTTCACCAGTTCACCAGAATGAAAGCTCGAACAGCAGTGTCAGGTGAATGAAGTCAGTCCCAAATTGCCTCAGACACTTGCATGAGCTGTTGTATGGACACTTGCATAGTCAGATAAAATGAGAAAAGAACACCTTTACAGATGCTTGTCATGGTGAGGTTCACCTTGTAACCGAGTCTTAATACAACACATATGAAAGATCAGCATACACGTTTCATTATCACGTGGCATATTGTAGAGAAACAAAGTGTTGGAGGTCTGCGATATCTCGCAGGAATGCAGTTGTTGATCAGGCTACCTAATGCTATGTGTTTGCTCGACAACCATACAAGCCTTCATACACGCTATTCCAGGGGGTATTCGTGCTCCAAGTCCAGGTGCCGCTGGACTCCCAAAATGATGAAGAAAAGAAAATGAAGCGAAAGTCCATGTAGGCACGGAGCCCTCGTCCATCGAGGGACGCTCCGGTATAAAAAATGTGATATGTACAATCCAAAAAGATGAAAGACGTGGAAAATAGTCTCATATATGTCATGAAGCCCACCATGCCATGCACCATCCGATGCTAAACGCCTTGCGAAACAAGTCTTGTGGTCTCGCTGTAAATGCAAATCAAAAACTCCGCCCAATGTAGTTATAGGCACCCCTCTAGACAGAGAGGACGTAGTTGCCTTGGTCGATCTTGCCGGCCATGAGCAAGCCCAATTCCCTCATGCGCTCACATCCGAGGCCGCGCTGAGGCTTGCGCTCAGGGACTTGTCCCTTGCGAGCGCGGTTGCAGTATTTTTGGTAAAACTTTTCCTTGCGACGCTGTCGCTTGCGCTCCAAGCCCTTGACGATGTCAATGGCGCCACGGATATGCAGATCGTTGGCAGGAGCCTTGGAGCGACGTCCCTTAGCCATGTGGGGGAACATGGAAGGCGGACGAGGAAGAGACTTGGTAACGGTGAGACCAGGGCGAGATGCCAAGGTCTTGAAAGTAATCGCGCCGTGTTCATTGCGAGGAGAGGCGGGGGGAGACTTCAGCATCTGAGGAGCCGGTGATCTCAGGCGACGGGGGGAAGGACCATCAAAGAGGCGGCGAGGGGAGCGGCCACGGTTCTTGGGAGCGGGAGAGGCACGGCGCTTGATGGGCGGGGGAGAGTGGAAGCGCTTGGGAGGAGTGTGCTCCGCTTTCTTCTGGCGACGGCTTCGGTCGTTCTTGTGGTGCAGATCCTCCATCTTGCCGTGGAAGAACATCTCGTCGTCACTGCTGTGGTGGACAGGGTTGTAGATTTCTTCCTCACCCTCGTCTTCCGGGTCCGAAGCAGGAAAGCTGGGGTCAATGTCCTGAGGAATCAGCTGCAGCTTCTCGCGTCTGCGAGCAGCCAAGCAAGACATGTAGGCATCCTCCATGGGCCGATCCTCATCGAGAGTACCGCAGACGAAATCAGTGCTGTCGGGAAGCTCAGGCGTGCCAGGGCGGATCTTGATGCGCTGAGCCCGGCCGCGTCGGGCGCGGAGGCTGCTGTGAGAAGCAATGGACGAATCCGAAAGCTGCTCAGGCAAGGAGGGCCTGCGGGCAATAGGAGTGCTGTCGATATTCTGAATAGTGGAGCGGCCAGGAGTCCACAAGCGGAGGTCATCATCTTCCTCTTCCTCCTCGGAATCGGCAAATCCGGTTTCCTCATCCGTCTTGTAGCCATCAGAGTTGTCATCCTCATCAGAAGCATCGTCCTCGTCTTCGTCCTCATCATCCTCGTCGTCGTCGTCCTCGCCCTCATCTTCATCGTCGTCGGCGTCATCAAGATTGTCGAGGTCCTCGTCATCGTCAATGGCGGTGGCCAAGTCCTCTTCCTCCTGCTCAGCCTCCTCTTCCGCCTCAGTAGCAAGCTTGCGAATGGCATTCTCCTTCTTAAGAGTATCGTCGATGGTAATGCGACGTCCCTGGGATGAAAAGGCCTGACGGATCCAGTCATCCTCGCGAGGAATGTCGCTGGCGAACTCGTGGAATTGAGACGACTCATTGTTCAGGTCGGATGGGTTGGCGGTGATGTACTTCTTGGTGGTGGGAGACTTGACAGAGGCATCGACCTGGGGAGGAGCAAGTGTGGGCCTGGGAGATCTGGAACGGGTTTTGCGAGCTGTCGCCGGGGCAGGTGCTTGGAGTCTGGCTGATGCCATCTCCATTCGCTGGGGAGGCGTGTTTTGCGTGGAAGCGGGGCGTTGAGGAACAGGGCAGGCGAACTTGATGCAAGATCTTCGCTGAGGCTCCTGGGCAGAAGGTGCCTTGACCATGGGCTGGCTGCGGATAGGCTCAACGGGCTTGTTGGGCTTCGCCGCGCAGGCGAACTGGATGCAACGCTTTTTGGGCGCCTCCTTGGCAGGTTCGTCGTGAATGTTCAGGAGACGCATTTCGGGAAGAGGCGGGCTTGGGGTGTTGGCGCGGGACGGGCTGGTCAAACCAGTATCGCTCGTCAAGTCGGCGGTGGAGGCCAGGCTGATGTTGCTGGCCATGGAGCGACGACGAGCAAAGAAGGACATACCCGGACGGGCTTCGGGGTCCTCGTCTTCGGAAGGGCTGTGGAGCGCCTTGGTCAAGAGGGAGGCGTTGTGGTCGAGGGTGGTACGTCTGATGGGGTTTCGCTTGAACATGCTGGTAATGGGAGAAATGGGGAGTTGCGTTTCCGGTGGCTCGTCGACGTCGGCGGACTCATCTTCTACCATGGAGGGCATATTTGCGCAATGTGTTGACCAGGCCAGGACATTCGACGTCGCAGCGTCGTGTTGTGTTGTTCGGTGCGTCATGGTGGAGAGGTGATGTTGTTGTTCGAGGTTGGGTGCAGGGGTGATTTCGGGCTCTCGGCTCGAGGTGTGGCAAATGGTTGATAATTCCAGGCCAAGTCGTTCAACGATGCTTCTAGCAGGCGCAACCAGTCGAAGATCGACTTCGTAAGAGCTGTTGGTAGTAGTAACAGCAGTAGTAGTAATCGCGAGACTGCTTGCGAGAAGCTTCTCTAGTAGTAATAGTTGGTGTTGTTTTGTTGTATGGATAGGTTGATGAGAGGGGGTGCCCTCAAGAGGACGTGCAGCTGAAGTTCGTCTCGGAAGACAAGTGCTGCAGATCAATTCGTGTCCCTAGGGACCGTTGTGCTATAAGAACAAAACTGACATCTCGAGGAAAACAGTCGATGTGTGTTGTAGTAGTAGTTGCCGGGGCAGATGAGGGAGATTATAGGATGACCGGGCGTGGCCTCAATGTGAGGCGCGGTAGTGCGATGATTCAGGGTCCTTGGGGGTACAAGAATAACTAAATCGGCGTGCGCGCAGATCCCAGATGAAAAGGGCGAGCGTGAGTGTGGCCGTGGACGTGTGGGCGTGGGCGTGGGCGTGGGCACAAGGATTGGTGTGTGCTGGACGAGCAGATGACGTCGGGCCTAGCGTGGCGCAGGGAAATGGCGAAAACAGACGGAAAGGATGGTAGACTCGTAGAGTACCGTACGTCTGAGTGATGTGAGGGAAGGGAGAGAGAGGAGAAGGATAACGTCTGCGAGAGAGGGCGCTGGGATAGATGGTCGGACAGCGAGGAACTTTAACAGGTTCCGGGAGTATTCTTGGCAGTTGGAGGACCAAGGTGGGATGAAATTCAGGATTTTCAGAGGCTGAGGGCTCGAGCGCTCTTGTCTCCTTTGCCGATGTGTGCGTCTGCTCCGTGCGGTGGGCAGTACGGTAGAAAGGTACGGGTACCCAGTATGGATACGTGGTCGAGTGTTGAGCGGGGGGAGACCTGACTTGTTGCTGCTGGGACGGACTCTGGAAAGAACTGGGAGGAAAGGCGACCAAATAGGTGGCGACGGGTAGAGGCCGTGACTAGGGGAGGTCAGTTGGCCAGTTTTCTTTGGTCAAGGCCAGGCAAATCCCTTTACCGCCTTGTTGGTGCTGCCGTTGCCGCAGGAGGTGTAGACGGGTGTGGGTGTGGAACGTGGAATGTGGTGCAGGCCTGAGAGGTGTGTGTGTAGACTGTCGGGTAGGTATTTGTCTGGTGCTGGTGTGTGTGTGTGGTGTGGTGTGGATGCTTCTCGTTTGCTAGAAGACCCGAAAGAAGAGTTGCGGTATTACAGCTCCAGGACTCAGCTTTAGCAAGCGACGAGGACGAGTCGGACAGCGGGAGTTTTTCGTGGAAGCAGGAGGTCGGGAGAAGCGTCTGACTGAGAGGGGAAGAAGTGGGCGCGAGGTGGCTGGTTGATTGATGGACTGATGGATGATTGAGAGACCCTCAGAGAAAGGGAGACAGGGCGAAGAGGAGAGAGTATCCGTAAGTGGGCGCGCGCAGTACGCAGCTTGCAGCTCAGTATGCGGTAAGAGTGGGTGGGTTGTTGACTGGGTGCGTGGGATTATGGATATCCGTCTCGCCAGGAAAGAGTCGCGGGCGTTTGGTCGCAGTGATTCTCTTGGTAGTCGTTTGTGGTAGAATTGCTCGTCAATGCGTATCCGTTCTCTCTCCACGTCGTCCTGGCTGCTTTGGATTGGAGGAGAGAGGGAGAGATGGTTGTGTGTGTGAGTGTGTATGGTGGTGTTCGGGGTCAGGTGGGCGAAAGGGCCGGGGTGATGGATGGCCAAGAGACTGAGAGAAACAATGGCAGGCCGCAGGTTGCAGAATAAGGTGCAATTGGCGTGTATGGTCTAAGGTGGTTTTTCGGGGTCTTTGTGTGGTGTGTGTGGTGTGCGTGTTGTTTCTGCAATCTGCAATGGGAATACTCCGTGGACAGGGAAGACGACGGGAAGCTTCCTGCGCAAAGGGTATTATCCGTAAGGTAGCCTATAGCCTATACTTCGTACTTCGTAAGGTAGGTAGGGAGGACAAGACGCGGGGTGGATGCCAGATGGTGTATGTGAGGCAGTGGCAGCGGCAAGCAAAAAGGAAAACCTAAGCAGGCCGCAGATGGGATCCAGCAGGCAAAGGCGGATGAAGCGCAAAAAGGGAAAACCACCAAAACAGGGGATGATAAGATTAGGATGTTGGACTTGGCGAGATCAAAACTCAAGGTAAGGTGTTTGAAGATCTTGGCGGACAGGCAGGAGCCAAGAAAGAGTGAGGCGCTGCTGCAGGCTCGCGGACTACAAAGACTGCAACTGCGTTGCTGATTCACTCTTTCTGCCTTTCTTGCTATTCCTTGGCAAAAAGCAAAGGATAGGTAAGCAGCAATTGGCAGCTGATAGCCGGATGGAAAAACAACAAATTCACTGCAAATGCAAGTTCAACTTCGAGGTATCCATCCAGTGCCCATATGGAGGGCCAGCGTGCGTACGAAGCAATAGGGTTTTATTGCAATGCGTTTTTTTAATTCCCTCAGCACAAATCTCTCAGCCCTCGTTTTTCACGTTTGAAATACATAGTACGGTATACTTTGTACACACTCCAAAAGAGTGAGCTTCGTGTTGGGTATTTCGGTAATTTTGGCAATTGTTTTTTCACCCCGAGTGTTCATACTCCAGAGTCCAGACATGGTTTGGTGCTGCCCCATTGCATTCTCTGGTCTACGCCCCCGGGTATGAATGTATGCTCAATGGCCCCAACTCTTTTTTTTTTCTCTCTCTAAATTTTTATTCCGCAGCCTAGAAATTTTTCAATGGCGCTCGGTCCGGTCTCCCCTTGAAAAATTTCCTTCGCCTAGCTAATTTCCCGTGGGAGTTCCGCCCTTCTTCGAGAATTTTTATTTATTTTCTTTGATCCCGTATGTCTCCGGGGCCCGGGGGTGGCACGGATTGGGGGGGAAAAAGGATACTCAGTGTCAAGTTCAACTTGTCAATGGGCGAGGTGGACCCCCAAAAAGAACACCGCTAGTCCGGGGACAGGCCTGTCGTTCAGGGCTCGCAGGGGCCCCCCCATTTTCTCACATCCACCATCGGAGTGAAAGAAAGAGCCAGCATCATCAATACCAGCGGGAGATGGAATGACGGATCGAAGTAGCGGGCGCCACACAGTGTTCACCAACAGTGTCAAGACTAACTAAACCTCTGCAAAGCGGTGATTCGGAGTGGAAACGACTTTCTCAACCTGCGCCGGCGTTGCGGGAATCTGCGGCACTTTTCTCGCCTTGCCTCGGGTACCGCGCCAAGCATGTTCAAGCTCCGCGCCGAAAACGGAGCTAGCCGAGTGGGGCCCAGAGACCTCAGACGAAAGGGATTCCTCACTGTCACTGTGTGCTCCGTCAGCCTTTAGGTGCCTGACTACTATCTGATTGGTCAGAAATTCTGCGACGAATAACCGTCAAACACCCGAATGTTCCCCAACCGTCCATCCACGGTACGTATCTGAACGTACCTACCAGCTCGCAGTTATGGATACTCCGTAGCACGAATACGTACCTCATTCAACATCTCCCCAGCCCTGACGGAACTCCCTGAGTCCTGACTTCTCAACCCACGCCGAGCACCCTGCCCCTGTCCTCCCATCGACTTTCAATCGACAATCACGACGAAAATGGCATGGCTGTGGTCCTCGTCGGCTCTCGCCCGCTGGCCAGTGCTCCCTCGAGTCGCTCCACCAGCTGGTGGGTGACCATTGCTGGTCCTCTCAGTGGCTGCATCTGTCTCGTCAAACATCCACACTTTGCTCAAATCACTCTGCTAACCGCTTTTTCAAGGCAAATACGCATAGAGGAGCATTTGCGAAATAGTCTACTCCGTACGAATCAAAGCTGGCATCGGCAAGGTCCAAAGAAGGGAATGGAGCAAAGCTAGCAACCACACCGGTGTCCCCTGCTAGGGCCGAAGAGGAAGAGGAAGGGAAAGGAAGAAACGGATCCCGCGCGCCATCTCGAAATCTCGCATCTGCAATTCCCTAATGGCTCAAGCCCGCTGGCCGCTGCCCTCTACGAAGTACGAAGTACGGAGTACGGAGTACACTACCGTCTGACCAACCACCATCCTACCCACCCTACCTGGCCTTGTCTCATCTCATCAAAAAGTGACTTGCGTCTGCCATATCTTGTTCGTATGACACGCAGGTCACCGCTGGTTTACTTGGGTCTGGCTCTCGGGAGCTAACCCATTTCCTCCAGTCATCTTCTCAAGTTTCTTTCCGGGCCCCAAATGTCGACACCGTCAAATCACCGACTCACCACTCCGCGCAGTCACGGTCATCATCCGTGATCCGTCCACTCAGAGCAGCTTTTCGAATTTCAGTCTTCAGTCTCTCGAGCAAGAGTCTCAGTGTCTCTCTCGACGTGCTTGTCGACCCCCCACACCACACCCCCTCGGGCTTTTCCTCGACACCCATACGAATAGAGCCGCCTGTGTTGCAGATGCAGCAGCAGCAGCAGTCTTGTCTTGTCTTGTCTTGTTATTGTCCTCGTGAGGCAGCCGTCGATTTTCCTTGGCCCATTTTCCACAAGTCTCATCCCATTCCTGTGTCGAGAATCCCACCCTCCAACTCGTCAGTCTCCAGCTCAGACTTTCACCTTGACACATTCTCTGCCCAGCCTTCATTCATTATGCCCTGACCTACCCTGCCCTGTGACCAGTCAAGTGACTCCAGTCTCCAGGACCCCAGGCCTCCAAAGGCGCCCCAAACAAACTCATCCGTCGTTTGTTTCTATCAACCCTCTTACTCGGCTCCGTCCTGTTCTATTCACGGAATGCCGTTGTGTCAATATTATTGTTGACCCGTTCTTACCGAGGGATGAATTCCCATCAACAACATGCAACCCCAAACGCAGTGCCTTGACTCAATGTCCCTTCTCTCTTCCTCCTTCGTATGGCCGCAGGAGCCACCCATTGGTTTTGCGTAGAAGCAGTCCATCAAA